TATTAATTCGCGCCACCTGGTGTTAGTTTCCGGTATAACCAGATTTTCCACTAAACGACGTAAAGTTGGGAGTTGGTATTAATTCGCGCCACCTGGTGTAAGTTTCCGGTGTAACCAGATTTTCCACGAAACGACGTAAATTTGCGAATTGGTATTAATTCGCTCCACCTGGTGTTAGTTTCCGGTATAACCAGATTTTCCACGAAACAACGTAAATTTGCGAGTTGGTATTAATTTGGCGCCATCTGGTGTAAGTTTCTGACATAATCAGTTTTTCCACGAAACGACGTAATATTGCAAGTTGGTAAAAATTCTTGATTTGGTTCTAGTTTCATCGAATTTAAATTAAACTGCTTGACAAATAAGTAAACTAATTCAAAATCTGTGAACAGATGGCGTTCCATAGACAACTACATTTGTATTTGGGAAAGTCTACAACTATTTTTTTGTAAGTTGTTTACTTCTCAAAGTCCTTGAATAAAAACCACAATTTTGAAGTCTTCTGATGTCGATGTCGTTGAGAATTATATAACTTACAATATTAGTCTTTTGAAGTCAATCTTGTTGAGAATAATATAACAGACTTATCTCTCTTACAAGATCAGTCTTTTGAAGTCGACGTTGTTGGGAACTATATAATAGAGTTATCTCCCTTTCATTATCCCAATTTACAAGATCAGTCATTTGAAGTCAGTGTTGTAGAGAATAATATGATAGAGTTATCTCCCGTACAATATCAGTCTTTCGAAGTCAATGTTGTTAAGAACAATATAATAGAGTTATCTCCCTTAGAATATCAGTGTATTGAAGACAATGTTGTTAACAATAATATAACATAGTTAACTCCCTAACAATGTCAGTCTTTTGTATTTATGTTGTCGAAAACAATATAATAGACTTAACCTCCTTACAATACCAATATTTTGTGTTTAAGGTCAATGTCCTTGAGAACTATATAATAGGGTGATCTCCCTTACAATATCAGTTTATTGAATGTTGTCGAGAATATCATAATAGAGTTTTCACTCTTACAATAACTCTAGTCTATTAAAGTCAATGTTGTTGAGAACAATATATTATAGTTATCTTCCTTACAATATTAGTCCTTTGTATCTATATTGTTGAAAACAATACAAGAGAATTATCTCCCTTACAATATCTTTTGCATTTAAATTGTCGAGAAAAATATAATAGAATTATCTCCCTTATAATATCCATTTTTAGTATTATTAACGTTATCTCCCTTACATAATCAATCTATTGAATTCAATGTTGTTGAGAACAAAATAATAGATTTATCTCCCTTATAATATCAGTCTATTGAAGTCAAAGTTGTTGAGAACAATATAATAGAGTTATCTCCCTTATAAACAATCTATTGAATTCAATGTTGTTGAGAACAAAATAATAGATTTATCTCCCTTGCAATATCAGTTTATTGAAGTCAAAGTTGCTAAGAACAATATAATAGAGTTATCTCCCTAAAAATATCAATCTCTTGAAATGAATGTTGTTGAGAACAAAATAATAGATTTATCTCCCTTAAAAAATCAGTCTTTTGTACTTATGTTGTAAAGAGTTATTTCCCTTACAATATAACTCTTTTGAAGTCAATGTCGTTGTGTACAATATAATATCTACTTTTCAATATACTTTTTTTGTACTTATGTCTTCGAGAATAATATAACAGAGTTATCTCCCTTACAATATCAGTCATTTGAAGTCAATGTCGTTGAGTACAATTCAATACAATTATCTCCCTTTTATTATAAATTTTTTGATGTTTAATGTTGTCGAGAACAATATAATCGATTTATCTCCTGTACAACTTCAGTCTTTTGAATTCAATGTTGTAGAGAAGAGTATAAAAAGACTTATCTCCCTTGCAATATCAGTATTTTGTATTTATATTGTTGAAAATGATATGTTATTTCCCTTACAATATGTCATGTTGTTGAGAACAATATATTAGATTTATCTCTCTTACAATATTTATCTTTTGAAATCAATGTTGTTGAGAATAATATAATAGAGTTATCTCATTTACAATATCAATTTTTTGTAATTACCTTGTTAAGAATTATATGATAGAGTTATCTTCCTTACAATATCAGTATACTAAAGTCATTGTTGTCGACAATAATATAATAGAGTTATCTCCCTTAAAATATAAGTCTATTGCTGTCAATGTTGTTGAGAATAATATTATAGACTTATCTCCCTTACAATATCAGTCTTTTGCATTTATGGTGTGGAGAACAAAATAATAGGGTTATCTCCCTTACAATAGCAGCTTTTTGTAATTACGTTGAGAATCATATGATAGAGTTATCTCCCTTACAATATCAGTATACTAAAGTCAATGTTGTCGAGAATAATATAATAGAGTTATCTCCCTTACATAATCAATCTATTGAATTCGATGTTGTTGAGAACAATATATTAGAGTTATCTCTCTTACAATATAAATCTATTGAGATCAATGTTGTTCAGAATGATATAATAGAGTTATCTCTCTTACAATATCATTTTTTTTTGTAATTACCCTTTTAAGAATTATATAATAGAGTTATCCCCCCTACAATATCAGTCTATTGATGTCAATATTGTAGAGAATTATATAATAGAATTATCCCCCTTACAATATCAGTCTATTGAAGGAAATGTCGTTGAAAGTAATATGATAGAGTTATCCCCCTTGCAATATCAGTCTTTTGTATTAATGGTGTCGAGAACAAAATAATAAAGTTATCTCCCTTACAGTAGCAACTATTTGTATTTGAGTTGGCGATAATGATTTAATCGAGTTATCTCCCTTACAATATCAGTCTTTTGAAATCAATGTTGTTGAGAATAATATTTTAGAGTTATGCCCCTTACAATATCAGTCTATTGAAGTCAATGTCGTTGAGAGCAATATAATAGAGTTATCTCCCTTACAATATCAGTCTTTTGTATTTATAGTGTCGATAACAAATAATAGAGTTATCTCCCTTACAATAGCATTTTTTTGTATTTGAGTTGTCGATAATGATATAATCGAGTTATCTCCCTTACATTATAAATTTTTTGTTACTACATTGTTAAGAAATAGAGTTATCTCCCTTACAATATCAGTCTACTAAAGTTAATGTTGTCGTGAATAACATGAAAGAGTCATCTCCCTTACAATATCAGTATATTGACGTCAATGTTGTTGAATATAATACAGTTATCTCCCTTACAATATCAGTCTATTGAAGTCTATGTTGTTGAGAACAATATATTAGAGTTATCTCTCTTACAATATTCATCTTTTAAAATCAATGTAGTTGAGAATAATAGAATAGAGTTATCTCCCTTACAATATCAGTATACTAAAGTCAATGTTGTAGAGAAAAATATAATGGAGTTATCTCCCTTAAGATATCAGTCTATTTAAGTCAATGTTGTTGAGAATAATATCATTATATAGTTATGTCCCTTAAATTTTATGGGTCTATTAAAATCAATGTCGTTGAGAGCAATATAAGAGAGTTATTTTCCTTACAAAATTAGCCTTTTAAGTCAATGATGTAGAAAACAATATAAAAAGACTTATCTCCCTTGCAATATCAGTCTTTTGTATTTATGTTGTCTTAAATTCGTGTTTTCTTTCATTTTTCTTCCGGCCACATTTTTCCATGCGCACCGCCATGTTTTTTTCTTGTCGTCTACAGCTTCTGTGTTTGATTGGCTAAGAATACGGGTTTCTCTAAACACCTTAATATAGCCACATCAGTAAAAAATAAACATAAGCCTCAGACTACAATAAAATGTTTATTAAAAACAGTTGTTCTGTCCCTTTTTAAATTGAAAGGGTGTTAAAAATTGGTATCGGCTACTTTGCTGACCCTTGATCACTCAACAATAAAACAATCGTATTGAAAAAAAAAAACATTTTAGGGGGAAGAGGGTCTAGTTCAGTCAACATAAAAAGTAGGGGCTATACAGAGTTAGTAGTGCGTCAGGATCCAACTCCAGCCCACAATGTCGATTAACCACCAGGCCCCAATGGCAATAAACTGTTGGGTTCTGGTGGTTTATTGCCATTGGGAACTGGTAGTTTATTGCTGTTGTGGGCTGGTGGTTTATTGCCAAAATACAAAATGCTCATTGGGGCCCTGGTAGTTTATTTCCATTGTGGCCAGGTGGTTTATTGCCATTGGGGCCTGATGGTTTATTGCCATTAGGGTCTGGTAGTTTATTGCTGTTGTGGGCTGGTGGTTTATTACCATTGGGGCCTGGTGGTTATTGACATTGTGGCCTGGTAGTTTAATGACATTGGGAACTGGTGGTTTATTGCCATTGGGGCCTGGTGGTTTATTGACATTGGGGCCTGGTAGTTTATTGACATTGGAGCCTGGTGGTTTATTGCCATTGTGGCCTGGTAGTTTTTTGCCATTGGGGCCTGGTGGTTTATTGACATTGTGGCCTGGTGGTTTATTACCATTGGGGCCTGGTGGTTATTGACATTGTGGCCTGGTAGTTTATTGCCATTGGGGCCTGGTGGTTTATTGACATTGTGGCCTGGTAGTTTATTGACATTGGGGCCTGGTGGTTATTGCCATTGGGGCCTGGTGGTTTATTGACATTGTGGGCCTGCTGGTTTATTGACATTGGGGCCTGGTGGTTTATTGACATTGGGGCCTGTTGTTTTATTGCCATTGGGGCCTGGTGGTTTATTACCATTGGGGCCTGGTGGTTTATTGCCATTGGGGCCTGGTGGTTTATTGCCATTGTGAGCTGGTGGTTTATTGCCATTAGGGACTGGTGGTTTATTGACATTTGGGCCTGGTGGTTTATTGCCATTGGGGCCTGGTGGTTTATTGACATTGGGGCCTAGTGGTTTATTGCCATTGGGGCCTGGTGGTTTATTTACATTGTGGGCCTGGTGGTTTATTACCATTGGGGCCTGGTGGTTATTGACATTGGGGTCTGGTTGTTTATTGCCATTGGGGTCTGGTGGTTTGTTGACATTGGGGCCTGGTGGTTATTGACATTGGGGTCTGGTTGTTTATTGCCAATGGGGTCTGGTGGTTTATTGCCATTGTGAGCTGGTGGTTTATTGACATTGGGGACTGGTGGTTTATTGACATTTGGGCCTGGTGGTTTATTGCCATTGGGGCCTGGTGGTTTATTGCCATTGGGGCCTGGTGGTTTATTAACATTGGGGCCTGGTGGTTTATTGACATTGGGGCCTGGTTGTTTATTGCCACTGTGAGCTGGTGGTTTATTGCCATTGAGGACTGGTGGTTTATTGACATTGGGGACTGGTGGTTTATTGCCATTGGGGCCTGGTGGTTTATTGACATTGGGGACTGGTAGTTTATTGCCATTGGGGCCTGGTGGTTTATTGCCATTGTGAGCTGGTGGTTTATTGACATTGGGGCCTAGTGGTTTATTGCAATTGGGGCCTGGTGGTTTATTGACATTGGGGACTGGTGGTTTATTGACATTGGGGACTGGTGGTTTATTGCCATTGGGGCCTGGTAGTTTATTGACATTGGGGCCTGGTGGTTTATTGACATTGGGGCCTGGTGGTTTATTGACATTGGAGCCTGGTGATTTATTGACATTGGGGCCTGGTGGTTTATTGACATTGGGGCCTGGTAGTTTCATGACATTGGGGCCTGGTAGTTTATTGACATTGGGGCCTGGTAGTTTATTGACATTGGGGCCTGGTAGTTTATTGAAATAGGTGCTTTGCCTTTGTCCTAAGGTATACGGTTGAATACTTCTCAAGTCTACCTTTATGAAAAGTAGGATGTAAAACTCCAATCATTTCAATTTTTGTCAGTCTGCTTTTATGAGACGAGAAGCAATAAATTGAGAATGTAGATGAACATCAACATGGTGTCGTCGTTGATATACTGAAATATTCACAGATTAGAGAATTAAGATCTAAGCAACTAATTACAGAATGACTATGTGACATCTTGCACCCCATTGGTCTATAGACATGTAATATCACAACTCAAACATCATTACATCTATTCTGTAGGACATCACCCTTACTTTTATATTGTTTGTATCAAGAGTGACTCTGTGAATCTTGAAATTGAAGTTAAAAATAAGATTATTCATCCATTTCTCTTCTTCCTTCTGTCTATCTATCCATGAATGAATGAAGTAAGAAGTTAAAAATAAGAAAGGAAGGGAGAACCTTTACACCAGAAGAAATTGTGACAGACCAGGATCAGTCCTTAGATGTTCCTTCATACAACAATGATAAAGATAAATCCTTGATACCAATATATTTACTTTGTCTTGTAGAAACGAGTTAATTTGGATTCTAAAATGAGAGTTTCTGTAACTGAGACAGGATTTCTTTCAGAAACAAACATGTAAACACCAGTTGATCAAGTGTATTGATTTATCTAAAATTTCAGAAAGCAAAAAGACATTGTACTATCTTTTGTCTAGTGTATCAAACAGCTGTTCAGGTTGACAAAATAAACCAGAAATTACCCAAAGATTGATTTTTTTAAAGTGTAACCAATTCTTTGAGAAGGGAAGATATTCAAGATATAATCCATGTTATATATTACAAGTCTATTCAAGACGAGATCTTCCTAAAAACAACATGGTGAGTATAATTTTGATTTTCAGACACGTCAAAGAGGGT